TGGCCATTCCCCACCAACCCTCGCTAAAGGATGGACCTGCTACACACGCTCCCGCCAACGTCGCTATCCTACACACGTCACCCGTCTCTCTCAGTGGTTTCGACGCATGCTGCGATGGTCTTTCAAGTTGCATCACCAACTTTCTTCTTTATCCCCACATTGCTCTCGTCCTGTCACTGCTTGTTCATCTACTGCTAATGCAGTTCCCACTGTTGCGGTTCCCACCGCCGCCGCTTCCACCGCTGTGGTTTACACTGCTGCAGTTTCTACTGCTGCTGTTTCAACTCCAGGTTTCACTCCGGCAGTTTCTGCTACGGAAGTTGCCTCCGCTGCGGTCCCTGCTACAGAAGTTGCCTCTGTTGCGGTTCCTGCTACAACAGTTGTCTCTGTTGCGGTTCCACTTTTTACCACTGCGGTTCCTGCTACAACAGTTGTCTCTGCTGCGGTTTCACTTTTTACCACTTCCTCTACTTCTGTAGCTCGAATTTCTCATGCTATAGTTTTTAGTGGTATAGCTTCCTCTACCCCAGCCCGACACTCGCGTCCTATGTTCCGACATCCTACCCAATCCACCCCCCTTTCATCCCTTTCTGTGCTTGGCCGCAGACGGYTGCGTTCCTCCTCGCCACCCCCATCTCCTCCACGGTCTCGTTTGAGAACCGATTCTCCGGTTTCTATTCTTCCCATTGTTCCGCCTTCATTGTCAGTGACATCCTCATCTTTTGTTAGAAACATCGCCACTCCTCTTATTGTGTATCATCGTCGACGACATGCACAACATCGCCACTTGGCCACGGATCACCGGCCTGCTTCTTTGTCTACCCCAATTTTCTCTATGCCTCCTCCACAGGTTGTTGCGGTTTCGTTGTCCCAAACGGATACATCCGCTCCTATGCCTCCTGCAGACAGTCCAGCTGCTTGCACACAGCCACAACACCATGTTTTATGCCTTTCCATGTTCGTTTGTCCCCCAACTGTACAACATGCGACCCCGAACGCTGAGGGTCTGGAACATGATCAGCTCGGACTGCATTTAACCCCGCAAGGCATAGACCACACGGGGGATTTGCAAATGGCTGACCAGGATCATATGGATGAACCGCATACTTGTGCCCCACCCTGTGTGGCCCCGAACGCTGAGGGACTGGAACATGATCTGCTTGGACTGCATTTAATCCCACATGGCGCAGACCCCACGAGGGATTTGCAAATGGCTTACCAGGATCATATGGATGAACCGCATACTTGTGCACCACCCTGTGCAGCCCCCACGGGTGAT